ATTTACCACCAAATGAAAGCCCAATTTGTCCTGAAAAAAACAAAGATATAATTCACCTGAGTGCACAAAGTAGTTGTGATGATGATGTACATTTTTGTGAACACATCAAAGTTGCAAAATAGTGCTTAGGCGTTAAGATTTGTTTTTACCCTTAGACATGAAGGGGTTAAAATTTGTCTGATCTGAATCATCTTAGAGTGACGAATATGCAAAAAAATAAAATAAAAAAATCAGGAAGGGGGGTAAACACTTTTTCTCAGCACTGTACATTAATTTCCACAGCCATGCCTTTAAAGCTAGAGTCTGAGAAGAAAGATGGGATAGGAGGGCCTTGCGATAGATCTAGCCTGTTGGGAAGAGGCCAGGAGTTGTCTGCTAGATGTGCGAGTATGTTTGCGTACCAGATTCTTCTTGACCTGTTTGGTTGCAATTAGAAATATTCATTTTCCTCTCTTGCTCTATTTTCTTCAGCAGATGAGGTAGGATTCCACACTGGCGGGAAGGAGTAAATTAGCCTGAACTGAGACCAAGGAATTATTAAGACATCTGAGGCTAGAGCTAGAGGATCCCTGGTTCTTGCAACAAACAAAGCTAAGTTGTGGTTGAATCTGGAGGCTAGGATATTCACAGCTGGAATCCCCCATTTTGTACATATTACAACTGAAGACATCCAGGTGAAGGGCCCATTCCACTTGATCCAGATGATGGTGACTAAGAATCTACTTTTCCCACTCCTGGGTTGTGGACTGCAGCTATCGCCGACAGTGAGTTTTTTGTCCAAGAGATGATCTGGTTTGCTTTCTTTATGGTAGCCAGACTTCTAGTGCCCCTGGATGATTGATGTCAGCTATTGCCATGGCATTGTCTGACTGCACCCTTACAGGGTGTCTCTTTAGAAGAGGGGTCCAGAATTTCAAGGCCAACCTGACTGCTATGAACTCAAAGATGTTGACAGGTAACTTGGCTTCCCCAATAACCATGTTCCTTGGACTAAAAGGGATTGGAACACTCCTCTCCAGCCCAAGAAACGTGCATCTGTTGTGTTAACTTTCCAATAGGGAAAAAAGAACTTCCCACTGATCCACCAAGACTGGGAATTCCTTGCTTGGTTGGACAGGAGCATGGGCAAATTGAGAGAAAGAACCTTTTTCTAGGTCAACAAGATGTTTTGTAAGGGTAAGTTCATGAATTAATTTGGAAAAATAGTATTGACTTTAAGGAGGCTACCATTATTCCTAGAACTCACAGAGAATCTCAATATGGGATCTCTTTGATCCCAAATCTCAAGTATACGATCTTAGAGAAAGAACCTTCTTTTCTAGGAGAAATACGTTTGCTTGGGATGTGTCAAGGACCAGATATTCCAGGCAAAAAAAAGGTCAGAGAGCAGATTGGTTGAAACTGATCACCCAGCTAATGGCCTGGAGCATCAGAAGTGTCCTGTGGACATTTTTAGTTAGCTGGAAGGGGGATGTGCCCTTCAGAGGAAGGTAGTCTAAACAGGCTATGACTTCAATAGCGCGGAGGACAAATAGAGGTGCTAAGACCTTTGTGAACACTCTGGGAGCACAGGACAGACCATAAGTCAGGTCAAAGGAAAGGGCTGATGAGGTGGGTAATGTGAACATACAGATAGGTATCTTGAATGTCCACAGATGCCATGTATTCTCTATGTCTCAGTAAGGCAATTACTGACCTAGTGGTTTGTGGAATTTTGGAATTTGAAGGAATTTGCTGAGGGATTTTAAATCCAGAATAGTTAAAATACCCCTACTGTTGGGCTTTGGTATTGTGAACAGGTTTGAGTAGAATCTTTGAAACTGTCTTGTGCCCATCTACTAGCATACAGCTCCATGGGACAAGGGTAGTTCAGAGCATTCTGCAAATTGAAGTTTCTGGTTGCTTTGAAAGAAGAAAGCGCTAAGGTGGTAGAGATTTGAACTCTGTGACCCAGAGAGAGACAAAACTAACAGACATTCTCCCACTCTTAGAAGTGAGCGGCCCACCAATGGAAGGCTTGGTCGCCTTGGTGGGCAAAGCCTTGCACCAAGCAGGAGGGCTGAATTCAGCGCTTTACACACACTATATATATATATATATATATATATATACATACATACACATATGTATACATACATACATACATGTACACACACACTATTCCAAATTATTATGCAAATTATATTTCTTATTTACCTAAATAATTGATGTAAATAACAGTCAGCATAATTCTCATGTTATCAACTATTAAGAGTACAATTCACATTTTATTGAACAAATCTCCTAATAACAGGATTTTTTTTTTAAACATAAAAAAAACTTCCAATGCACTGTTCCAAATTATTACGCACAGTAAGTTTCAAAACATGTTATAGGTTGTAAAGAACTGAAAATTGAAATAGCTTTTTGATTTCAGTAAATATGCTGCAAACACAACAAATGACAATCAAACTTTTAAAAACATTTTAACTTTTTAAACATTTTAACAGGTCACGTTACATTTTAACATAGGACCCCTTATTTGATAGCAGCTTCACAAGTCTTGCATCCATTGAACTTGTGAGTTTTTGGATAGTTTTTGCTTGAATTTGTTTGCAAGATGTCAGAATAGCCTCCCAGAGCTGCTGTTTGGATGTAAACTGCCTCCCACCCTCATAGATCTTTTGATTGAGGATGCTCCAAAGGTTCTCAATAGGATTGAGGTCAGGGGAGGATGGGGGCCACACCATGACTTTCTCTCCTTTTATCCCCATAGCAGCCATTGATGCAGAGGTATTCTTTGCAGCATGAGATGGTGCATTGTCATGCATGAGGATGATTTTATTACAGAAAGCACAGTTCTTCCTTCTGTACCAGGGAAGAAAGTGGTCAGTCATAAACTCCACATACTTTGCAGAGGTCATCATTACACCTTCGGGGACCCTAAAGGGGCAGACCAGCTCTGTTCCCATGATTCCGGCCCAAAACATGACTCCACCACCGCCTTGCTGACGTCGCAGCTGGACCATCCAAGGTTGCATGGCACTAATTAGTGAACAGGACTGTTTGAAAATTAGTCTTCATGTATTTTTTCTGCCCAATGCAGCCGTTTCAGCTTGTGAGCATTAGTTAGTGGTGGCCAAATAGAAGGTTTATGCACAGTTGCAAGACTCTGGAGGACTCTACACCTTGATGTCCGTGGGACTCCAGAGGCACCAGCAGCTTCAAATATCTGTTTGCCGCTATGTAATGGTATTTTAGCAGCTGCTCTCTTGATCCGATGCATGGATCTGGCAGAAATCTTCCTCAATGTGCCTTTATCTGCATGAACCCGTCTGTGCTCTGAATCAGCCACAAATCTCTTAATAGTGCTTTTCGGCAGCAGAGAGATCCTTTTTCTTCCCATATTGCTTGAAAATGGTGCTCCGTTTAATAATGTGGAACACCGTCTTTTAGTAGTTTTTCCTTAAATTGCGCTCACCGGCCAATCTAATTATCACAGGTGTCCGAGATTGTTTTCAGTGATCAAAAGAGCCCTGAGACACAATGCCATCCATGAGTTAAACTGAAAAAACAAAATATTTAATCTTTGTGACACTTAAATAGAATTTGCATAGTAGATTGGAACAGGGTGTGTGTGTATATATATATATATATATATATATATATATATAATATATATTACAGTACATTCACATGAGGCTCTACTAGGGCCAATTTAAACAGGATCCAAGAAACCTACCAGCGTGTCTTTGGAGTGTGGGAGGAAACTGGAGTACCCAGAGGAAACCCACACAGGCACAGGGGGAACATGCAAACTCCAGGCAGATGGTGCTGTGGTTGGGATTCAGACCAATGTAGTACTGCCAGGCGAAAGTGCTAACCATTTAGACACTATGCATATTGAGGTTTTTATCCAATTCATTGAAACAATAAGCGGCCAACTTATTGATTATGAAAATAATTGTTAGTTGCAGCTCTACTGGGTTGTATCTTGGATAAGGCACAGATACTCCAACTGATGTGTTAGTTACAGCTTAGATTGTTCTTTATATGTCCTGTCCACACCACAACACTAGTGCAGATTTTTTTCTGCACAAGAATCTGCAATGTGTATAAAACTCATTTGAGTGCACATGAAAACTGATGTCTCTGCAAATTAAATCTGCACGTCAGTTTCCATCAGTTTGTCTGCATTTATGGTGTGAACGAGACCTAAATGAGTGCTCTTACCACGTTCTTTTTTTTAAAGTTGCTCAGAGAAGCACCAAAGAGGCATTTACCATCAAAATCATGAACAGCATGCATCCCAAAGACCAATGAAACACAGACCCAAATAACAGAATAGAGTGTTCAGCTTAGCAGCATGTAGATGAAGTCTTGATTGAATGAAAAAAAAAAATATATTGAGAAAAACAAAACAAAAAAAAAAACTGGCCAATGGACATTGTTTGCCGATGTTTAAATCCTCCTGTAGCCAGCAGTATACCTCAGTCAAATCTGAATAACGGAGTCCTGTGTTCCTTAATGAATAAATAAAAAAAAGCTAGATCTTGATAGCAGTGTCAGACGAGTTGGGAAGAAAAATAAATTAAGAATGGTTTATAAGACATCTCCATAGGATGAAGTCCATAAGCTACAGGAACTAGCAAAAACCTGCAGTCCATGGAGTGGGTTGGGTTATATGAGGGTGCACTGGGTGTGTTCCCAGGAAACCGTTTGCCAGTGCCCAATCACCTGAGGGTAGCGGTATACAACCCATAGTCTATGACTTCCTGTTCTTTGCCATGTACTGTATGATTAAGATAGAAAGAATATTTTGCCCCTGTCCTTCTTCCCTCAAGAACAAAATGTTTTATAGTGTACCTAAAACACAGGAACAAAAATTAATACATTACAGTTTAACGATCCTTAGATGATGTGTAAAATGTGTGTCACCACACAGCAACTCAAAACCCACAATACAGTAGAGCCAGCACGCACAACTGTGTGTCCCAAACCCCTTCACAAAAAATTGTAAATTAACCACTTCCCGTCCAGCCCATGTACATAAACAGTCAGACGGAAGCAGTGCAGGAGCGGGTGGCCATTTATAAATGTCCTCCCGCTACCCTCCCTGTGTGCGGCACCACGATCCGGTGCCCACTGTGTCTTCTGGATACAGCAGAACACCGACCACTATACGGGACCTCTGTGTGAGGTCCCGATCTTGTGATCACTGATTGGCCAATCACATGAATAGTATAAAGCAAGATGTCACTTCTGACATCATAGCTTACTACTTGTGAAATCTGTGAATGATCACAGAGGTCACATGGTACAAGTAGTAAGCAATGATGTCAGGAAGTGACATCTTGTTTACTACTATTCATATGATCACTATTCATGGGATCATGGGATCCTGCACTATAACCCAATAAAACTAGTGCTAAACCAATAAGTAACAAATAAGTGAGAAAAAATAATGACAATGGAAATGTGATGATGAAGTGAACTGCTGCTACTCACTTCCTGAATACCAGAATAGGAAATTACAACGAATACAAAAAGTGCACTGTTCACTTAAAACCCCAATAATATAAACACTAAAATGACTGTTTTCAATTAATGTGTGTTTAAGAATACAAAAAAAAAAAAAATCACCATGATATATCATATAAATCAGATATTGCACAGCTAAACAAATATTGGTATATAAAGTCCCCAATCGAATGTGAAGAAAAAAAAAAAAAGTGCTACGTGCTGAATAAAATCTTCCAAAAAGTGCTGTGGTGCTCTTCACAAAAAACTGAAAAGTTTTTTCAGTTTCAATTGATCTCAAGCTATAGAAATCCAATAGGCAGATAATATCCCGACTCCATACTGACACTTCCCACTACCGATTCCAAAGGGGAAGGATGGACAGCTGCAAGCTCCCCAGAAGCCGGTATAATACGCCAAACCACTCTCCGCAATGGTATATTAAGAGTTAAAACAGAAGAAACTTCATAGTGCAACCCAGTAAAAGAATATGGTTTATTAAGGTAAAATATTGCATTTACATTTGGTTTGGTGCAAAAGAAGTATTGAAACAAATACAAATCAGCTGCGGTGTCAATCTGCCGGCTGGTGCGTGGTGACGTCACAAGAAGACTCCGCCCAATGCATTTCCCCACAACTGGCATCCTCTGGGATAGTGAGAGTGTCAGTGTGAAGTTGGGATATTATCTGCCTATTGGATCTCTATAGCTTGAGATCAATTAGGTTCGGTAAGAGGCTTGTCAATTTTTTGTGAAGAGCACCACAGCACTTTTTTGAAGATTTATTCAGCACGTAGCACTTTTTCTTCCCATTGGATTGGGGACTTTATATACCAAAATATTTGTTTATCTGTGCCATGTTTATTGATTTATATGATATATTATGGTGATTTTTTTGTATTATCCAACACATATTAATTGAAAACCAAGTTCATTGTTCGGGCTTAAAGCTGGTCATAGATGAATCGAATCTCAGCAGGTTCAGCAGGGACCGGCCAAGATTCGATCAATCTATGGGCAGGCTGATTGTACCCAAGTTGATCCATCTTGGGTTCAAGGCTGTCAGAATTTTAGCATGCGATTACTGCCTCTGGCACTAGAAGTATTCATATTCTGCCGCACCCATGGTGGAAGGAAGAAAATGGATTCATCTATGGCTTACCTTAGTTTGTGAGAGACACAAAGCCTAGTTAAGGCAATGGTTCTTTTAAATGGATTGTTATCCCTCAGCCTCCGTTGACGGACCCATAGATCGAAAGAGAAGGTTTCTGCAGTGGCTCAACATACATTTACACCCTGCAAACAGTGTATTTTATTTATACAAACACACACACTAAAATTGTTCTACAAAACAACTGTACATTGATCTTCAAGGACCATCTTCTGTCTACTGTCACCAAATAGTAATAAACACTCACCGGCCACTTTATTAGGTACATCTTACTAGTACCAGGTTGCCTTTTGCCTTTAGAACTACCTTAATTCTTCATGGCATAGATTCAACAAGGTATTGGAAACATTCCTCAGAGATTTTGGTCAATATTGACATGATAGCATCACACAGTTGCTGCAGATTTGTCGGCTGCACATCCATGATGTGAATCTCCTGTTCCACCACATCCAAAAGGTGCTCTATTGGATTAAGATCTGGTGACTGTGGAGGTCATTGGAGTACAGTGAACTCATTGTGATGTTCAAGAGAACAGTTTGCGATTATTTGAGATTTGTGACATGGTGCATTATCCTGCTGGAAGTAGCCATCAGAAGATGAGTACACTGGCACCCGGTGTGGTGTTTCTGCTGCTGTAGCCCATCTCCTTCAAGATTCGATGTGTTGTCTGTTCAGAGATGGTATGCTGCATACCTTGGAAAGGCAACAGTAACTCAAAAAAACCCACTCGTTACAACCATCATCTCGTACCAGTCTGCCCATTCACCTCTGACATTAACAATGAATTTTCATCCACACAACTGCCGCTCACTGGATATTTTCTCTTTTTTCATGTCATTCTCTGTAAACCCTAGAGATGGTTGTGCATGAAAATCCCAATAGATCAGCACTTTTTGAAATACTCAGACCAGCCCGTCTGGCACCAACAACCATACCACTTTCAAAGTCACTTAAATTCCCTTTCTTCCCCATTCTGATGCTCGGTTTGAATTACAGCAAGTCGTCTTCACTATGTCTAGATGCCTAAATGCATTAGTTGCTGACATGTGATTGGCTCATTAGCAATTTGTGTTACCAAGCAATTGAACAGGTGTACCTAATAAAAAGACTGGTGAGTGTACATTTCCCACTACAACTTGTATACTTACCAACAGGTGTTTAGCTACAAAACTTTCAATGCATGGTTTGTAGTTGCTACAGGTATAAAATAAAATATTCCAACATAGCTATAAATATGATCATTAAGAACATCTGTCATTTGGGTCAGTTAAAAGTTGAAGAGTCATAAAACTCAGTTTTCAAGAACAGAACTAAGGGATGGGTTGAGAAGAGAAAGGGTGCTTGTAACCTCTTTAAAGTAAAAGAAAGGATGAAATAAAGTGTGCTGGTATCATTGCAATACAAATAGAACACAGGGTTTAACAAGGTTAGATTTCAGCTGTGACAGAGATTGGTATAGACACATCTTTGTCCAAAATATTTCAGGCTGCCACGTGATGGTTGGCAAAGACATGTTGCTTGACAATTTTCCTGTCATCTGAACACGCTTTTAGGTCTATGGTTAGCTTGGATCTTAACATTTCACATTAGACACAATGGGGGAGATTTATTAAAACTGGGGAGTGTAAAATCTGGTGCAGCTGTGCATAATAGCCAATCAGCTTCTAACTTCAGCCTGCTCAAATAAACTTTGAAAAAAAAAACCTGAAAGTTGATTGGTTTCTATGCAGCACTGCACCAGATTGTGCATTCTCCAGTTTTCGTAAATCAACCCCAATAGATTTTTAACAAGATTGATCATTGGAGCACTTGAAACATGTTTTGCCTGGTAACCAATCAAAGCCTAAAAGGGCTTATTTACACTTGCTTCGACTTAAAACAAAACACACATTTAAGCTCCTGCCGCTTCAACATGCATTTTTGATGCTTCTGTGATTTGTTTTTTTTTTCATTTAAAGCTTTAATGGCGCTTGGCATATTTTCTGTATGTGTGGGGCCCAGTATAACCTCAGCTCATTAGTACTCCTGTTCAGCAGATCCCCTGTTCATTGGTACCCTCTTTAGGCAGATCCCCAACTTATTCCTACTCCCATTAAGCAGACCCCCTGCTCAGTAATATCCCCAGCTCTGAAGACCCACTCAGTAGTAACCCCAACTCTAGTGATCCTCAGCTCAGTAGTAACCCCCAGCTCTGCTGATCCCCAGCTCAGTAGTACCCACCAGCCCTGCTGATCCCCAGCTCAGTAGTAACCCCAAGCTCTTTTGAGTCCCCACTCAATAGTAACTCCCAGCTCTGCTGATCCTCCTCTCTCTCTGGTCCCCCCGCTCACCTCCCGCTATATTTGTCCCACTCTGCACGCCATGTGTGCCATTGCTAGTTTATCCTGCCCCGATTCCCCAGCTCTGCTGATCCTCTGCTGCTCAGTCCTCTCTCCAGCCCCTGCTCACCTTACGCTATAGCATTCCTATATTGCACACCACATGTGCCGTCTGCTAGTTGCTCTGCTCCAGTCCAGACCTTGCTCACCTTCCTGCTGCACACCAGATAGGACGTCTGCACCAGACACTTCCAGAATATATACACATGAACAGGAACTGACTGTTGATGACATCTTTCCGGTTCGCTTATTGGCTTCCCAGTGCATCCTGGGACATTTCATACCTGCAATACCTCCAGAGCAAAGCAAATTTTAAGCTGAATAAAATCCTCCCAAAAGCTGCAGGTGCGGTTAGCGAGCTTTGTCAGACTTCTATAGAGGCTTTGGAGACTCTTTGAAGCACCAAGAAAGTGAAATGGGATATCATTTTTGAAGTGAACCAAAGCAAACAATGTGTAAACAGGACTGTAAGTTTACCATTTTATTTAGTGACAGGGGCTTTGATTGGCATTCAGAGTGCTTTAAAAAATGTGTCCAATTCCACATTTTGAAGCAAGTGTAAATAAGCCCTAACTCTGTGTTAGGCAGTGAGATGAAGGGACCATTGGATGTCCGGATCCATAAAGTAAGGCAAATCATCCCCTAGATCCCCTTTAACTTTTTTAAAGTTATCCACTGTTCTTCTTTAAATTGTAATCTGGAATATGTAATTACAGCACAATATTTACAAATATGAAAGCAAACCATGCAGATCAAAATATACCAGACTCCAGATATTTATTAAGCTTTGAAGAGTTGGGTCAATATTGTACAAAATAAAAATGAATACATTTTTGTGCCAGCACGTATGGGACTTGGGTGTGGACCGACTCCTGAGTTTGGCAGGTGAAGAGAGCAGTGACAGGAACACAGAGCTCCCTTGAATTTTGAACAGATTAAAAATTGGGCCGATTTAGGCTTCAAATCGAAGTCACTGTATATTAACCACCATCTTGTGTGCGCAAAGCATAGCAAACAGAGGCTTTGGAGAGATGGCTTTAGCCCCTGAGTTCAGCTGCCTCTCTAGCTTAAGAATAAGGGGGTGAAGTTGAACAAAATTCGACATTTAAAACATAATGTTATATTGCTTGAA